AACCAACTTGGTTATAAGGAAACTACAAATTGAACTTTCTCATAATGCATCACACTCATTGTTAAAAGTGATTTATAAACAAACAAACCCTTCACAATGTTTGACAAACAATACTCAAAATTTAGCGTCATTTGTCAAACTGGGAAATTGTGCTTTTGTAAGAAAAGGGAATTGATTTTCTTCTTTTGATTTATTATTTGAGAAATCTATTTTTTCATAATACTATCTAGTATATTGAAAAATGGTCATTCAGTTCAAAACTTCAGGGCAAAGTATAAACCATCTCAGCTGCCTTAGGAAAAAGGGTTGCTTTTGCAGCTAATCTTGAGTAGAAAGCATTTGTTTCTTTGCTTGTTCTCTGTTTGTCTGTCTCTCTCTCTGGTTACCTTGTTCTGTCCAATGGTTTTGTAGCTGCCTTCACTCCGCCCTGTTGTCCACAGAAGACTAGTTTGATGTGTTGAGATTCCTGACCCCATGGTGAAGACACAGTCTGTGAAACCTAGAGCGCTTGGCCCAGGTATTTAATGAGATTTTTTTTTGTTTGTTTCTCCTTGGGCTCCTAGATTTCTACAATCCAAAGCCCAAGCTACTGTGCAGCTCTTTCTCAGGCTTCTTGTATGCAGGTGCTATTACTCCAGTTCCACCTGCCTTGGGTGAGGCCTTTTCATTCCAATTCACCACCACAGCAGTTCAGATACTCCCTCATCCACCCATTTGTGGATCCAGAAAACTGGGCCCACGGCTTCAGGCCAGATTACCACTTTGTCTTTGTGCTCTGTTTCTGATCCACAGAAATGTTCATTATTTTTAAAATTTTCTCTTATTATAGCTTGTCTTTAACTGCTATGTATATAGAGCAGGGTAGTGGGCAAAAACATGAATTTAAAGTGCCATCTTCACTAGAAACTTTTCAGGTCAATGCAATGGAATTTTAGCAGAAAGATCAAATGCTCCTTGGTAGACTATATAATTTTTAAAAATTGATTTCAGAGAGAGAAAGAGAGAGAGAGAGAGAGAGAGAGAGAGAGATCAATGATGAGAGAGAGTCATTGATCGGCTGCCTCCTGCACATCCCCTACTGGAGACTGAGCCCACAACCCAGGCATGTGCGTGTGCCCTGACTGAGAATCGAACCGTGACCTTCTGCCTCTGGTTCATAGGTCAATGCTCAACCACTGAGCCACACCAGCCGGGCTAGATAGTAATTTTTTTCCTAGAGATTTTAAATTCAAGGTAAGTGAAGCATATTCAAGTGGAGGGGGGTTATAATAGGTAGCTAATAAAACATAAAAGATGAGTCAGGTGTCAAAGCTTAACATGTAGTTTTGGAAATCATAGAAGTTAACAAAAAATAGTCTTAAAATATAACCTTCAAAGTGTGATACCTACAAACAGATCAATGAGAAATACCCCTGAATTTATATTTTTGATGATGTAACAAATTTCTCTCCTTCTTATGCCATATTTAGCTTACGTATTCATTCCTATAAGATTTTATAATACATTGATTATTCATTTATTCAACAAATACTAATTATGCTTCTGATATCTACTCTACAAGACCCTGGTGATTCAGAGATGAATAATAAATAGTCCTTGCCCTCAAGAAATTTATAATTTATTGAGGAAGTCAGCCACACACCCCAAAACAAGTCACCATTCCATGATAACTGTTGTACTGGCTGTAGGGACAAAGTGCTTTCTTTAAAGGCATAGATCAGAGAATGAGTAATTCTTAATGGTCTGGTTCTGTGAAGAAGCAATTCCAAAGGCTTCACAGAAGAGGTGGCATATTGGGAACTTCCAGAAGTTTTACAAAAGAGTTAATAGTGTCTTGTGGGACATAGGGTCTAGGGAAATTAACTTATGCTTATCCAGCACTCAATTTTGACTTAGATTATGGGATTATTTGGACAGCTTGGGGAGCTAATGAAGATTATGGGAGACTGATAAGCACTTTCCACCTCCCTCTCCTTCTTTGAGGATTCCTTACATGAACAAAGATGACAGTATCAGGCAACTTTAGGAAAGGGTAAATGAACTGGCATAGTCAGAGGACAGGATAAATAGTAACTAACTTGGGGATGGACAGATGACCGAGGGTGGACTGTGGAGATCTTATATTGTAGTCTAAAAAGACTGGACTTTTCTTGTGGGTAATGATGCTGGTGATGCAATCCACTATACATTTTGAAATATAGACATCTGAGATAATGAAATGGAGAAATAAAAGACTTGAACTAGTGACCAATCAGAAAAATACTGACCGTGTCCAAGTATGAGGTAATAACTATTAAACTATCATGGAAATAGAGGAATTAGAAAATCATAAGTATTTTTTTACAGTATATATTTGAAAGCTGTAATAAAGCAATGCTTCTATTACTATTTCATTGCAAGAGAGGTTTCCCTAGTTGAGATACAAGTATGATGGAACTTTCAGAATTATGTTTAGTGCTTAAGGGCTATGTTTTTCAGATAAAGTACTGTTTTTTGTTTGTTTTTACTATATCCATGTTGGATCATATCAAAAGGCATAGGAGTGATTTAGGCATGAAAAGGATTAACTCATTATGTTAAGCCTTTATGTTATCACTAGAGGCCTGGTGCACAAAAATTTGTGCACGTGGGGGGGTCCCC